ACAAGATCCTCCAAGTATCAACAGTCAGGGGGGTGAATCATTGGCCTGTCTTGGAATCAGATGTGACCCTCCAAACATGATCTTCCACCAACCTGTTAAGATCAAGATACCACACTCAGCCTTCATTGTCAACCCAGATCAAGTGAAGTCTGACATCGTTTGCTGTTCATGGGATTTAGTGAAGTGTAAGTCAATTGAGTCAGATTGAGAAAATGGTCCATTCTTAATAATACTGGGATATCTGGAAAATGATGACCCGAAATCCACTTCTAATATGTCAGGCACAACACTTTAAATTACACTCTTAGCAAACAAAACTATATTTTGCCTAAGTTTTCTTTCCATGAAAAAACAATTAAAAACAATATGTCATTCTGTATATCCTTCTCCTTTGCAGGTGCATTTACTGATTGTAGTCTTAGAACGCCTTCAAAGTGATCACTTGCATTGTTGTTCACCCTCTAGCCTCAAGGTATCGTGGTTATCCATACCGTAAAGATTAACCATCCGCAATGCCTATTTATTTATGGACACTTTCAAAGGGGTAAGGAGTGGAGGGGTTTTTTGTGCTCTGAAGGATTGGTAATGAAACTTAAAGCCATTTAAAACAATCTTTCTTGACAATTAAGGACACCTGTTCTTGGTTTGGTGTCGTTTGGTGTTGGTTAATTAAGGTGCAACGGTTAAAAGGACAAATCGGCTCCATGGCGCAATAACATTCCTTTATAACAACATTTTTTTTTTTAAACAATTGACATTAGATCTACCAAGAACATCGAGAAAAAGATCATCCAGCTCATCAGATGAACCACCATACTGCAGACTGTACAAGAGACACCTGGAGCTGTACATTGATCACTGTGCTGAGTGGTGGGTTCTTATTCCTCTTGAACAGCAGGTGATCCGACACCAACTTATGTGCACTCCATACATCCCAGAAACCGTAGCGAGAGGCAAAGAGATTGAAGTTCATCTTCATGTGCATGCCGATATTCCTGGCATTGATACGGTATGTACTGTTAACATGTTCTATTAGTAAATTGTTAATTGCTGCACATTTTCGGACGATTATAGGGTTGTTGTTTAAAATCTTACTTTCCGGGGTTATTCTATGTGGAGGGCCTCACAGCTTGTTTACACCAGACTTGATGGGATGTTCTAAAAGTGTTTTTAAAATTGCTGTACGCCATTAAAAATTTCATTAAAAATTACTCCGAGCATGGCCTGTATGACAAAGCCTATACAATGCTGGTAATAAGCTGAATTTCTCGGAAAGGCATGTTAAGTCCTCAATAATCATTTATTAGCGGCCAATGGGCCTGTCCGAAATGCTATCTGAAAAAAAGTTGGGTGAACTCCAAATTTTCACCTATCAATGTTTTTGAATTCCATGGAAATATCATTAAATGGAATCATGATGATGATCGTCATTGTAAGTGAACCCCGGTATATACCCCAATGTTGTAACGACAAATTTTCATGAGAAACCGAGAAATTGTCCGATTCATTGGGCCCATGATTTACTCCATTGCTAGTCATCCGTTCTTTGAAATAGGAAGTTCTACATGAGGAGAAGCATCAGGCGTACCGCAAGGCCCATCGTTCGGTCCCATTTAGCATCACATCTCATTCAGGTGACGTTACAGTGGCACGTGATTGTGAGGGGAAGATGGCAGAAACTAAGGTACAAAAATAAATGTTGTTCTTAAAGAGGAAGGCCACCCTGATATGAAGTTGGATTTAATGGAAGCAGACAAATGAAAAGAACAGGTCATAAAAACTTGAGCAAAATCTGATTGAAATCAAGAAAGTTACGAATATTTGAATCTATGATCAATCGTACACAAATCGGCAACTTTGTGACGTATCTTGCTAGAACCTTTCTCATTTGCTCTGTATTAAAGAAAAATCAGGACTTACTGTTCCCCTTACATAAAATTTCAACCATATGAGCACCCTCAATACAAAAATTGAAAATTTATGTTTCTATACAATATACAATTCGTGAATGAAACAAAGCTGCTGTACTGAGCAAATTGTAGAGAAACTCCTATAAGGTATGTCACAGTGTTGCCACTTGGGTATCACTGATTACATTAATCCACAAAATCATAGCTTTTGTATTGTTGCTTGGATATCGCTCAAACTCGTGTTTGTGTTTCTCATATTTTTCGGATTGGATTAATACCAGCTAATTATGAGGGTCAACTTTCCCTTTGATAATCTCCCTGCTTGCTGGTCTGACTTTCAGCACTTCGACTTTTGCTTTGGTTTTATTTCGTGATACAAAATTTAGAGTTTTGAGTTAGGGTTGCACTGTTGCAGTATGGTCTTAGGTTAGATTTACGGTAAAAGTTAGGGTTGGTTTAGTGTAAGTGTGAGGTCCAGTTAAAGTACGACAATAACCTAAAATATATTTTGTGTGTACAGGTAGAACCTTTAAACCAACCTCAATTTGTTACTCGGCTTCTTACGCTTTTGTTTAACAGTAGAGTTTTGGCACAGCATGCAGGGCTCGGTGCCCTGCTGAAATTAGCAACCCATTGTTTTGTATGGTGTCTCCAAGTGTCTTGTATTAGGGAGAAAAGAAACAGGTCCCCTCGGAGAGATTGCCGACATTTCAGCCTTTCAGAAACTCAAGTGTACAGTTTAATTATAATAATGAAAGAATACAGTATAATACTTGAGAAAACAAGGAAGATTCGTTAAATCAAACATATCCAACTAAATTTAAGAAACTATTATTGTTCTCCCAGGCTCCATATTTTCAAATAAATGATCAAGTCCTGTAAATGTGGTATAGAGACATAATAAGACTACAGCCCTATCCGGACAACTGACCCAGGACAACTTCCCCCCCCCCCCGAACATCTACCCATTGATCATTTATCCCAGGACAATTATCCCCAGGATAAGTAAAACCGGGACAATTACCACCCAAGTCAATTACTCCAATAAAATTGCCTCTAGGGCAGTTAATGCCCAACACAAATGGTTTAAAGAAAATTAAGTATGCGTGGCTGACATCTTTTGCCTATCGGGTATCCAAATTGTACGAACGAGCGATTTGACCAATTCATCACTTACACACATCGAAAGAATATTTGATCGGGGAGAAATTAATAAAACAAATACAAAGAGACCACCTCGTTGCCTGAAGCAAGGGCTAATATGGTCAATTCAAAATTATTGATGGGGTGGGGGAGGGGGGAGTTGTGAGAGGGGAGAATTTCGATGTAAAAATACCAGAGGTATTATTATTGTCATATAAGCCCCTTTAATCCAAAGTGTAATTGTCCTGGGGTAATTATCCAAAGGTGTAAAAAAGTGTCTACGGAGGTATTGTCCTGTGTATAAATATGGGCAGTGATTGCCCGGAATAAAATGATCGTATTTTGACCTGAAGTTAATTGTCCAGGCGAAATTCCGGGCAAGTCTGCAATGTTTAAGCATGTTTGTCCCAATAACATAAGACGAATAACAACTCAGTTGTGTCGGGGCGGTTTCAATCAGCAATGTTTTTAATGTGTGCATCTGTTAAACATCTTTCTTTCATTTTAATGCATTAAATCTTTACTGAATATCTAAAACCATAAAATTTGGAAAACAATTCCGAGTAGGACACGGTGGAATTGTACAACATGATTGAAGGTGCCATACCAAAGTGTATGGCCAATATGGTTGCAAGCGACCGAGTCACCTTGCGCCGCGCTATAGCCCCTCTAATTAGTAAAAGCCGCTTTCATTTGGCTAACGCCTAACGGATAAAGAGCATGAAGAAAATAAATTATGACATAAGATCGGATACACACTGGTACTTTCAGTTGTTTTTTCAAACAACTTCTTGTTTCTTGTTTGGGTTTCTTTCCAGAAAAAAAGAAAGTTGTTTATTTCTTAATATTCTAATTTTGTCGTCCTATAGCTGCTCTCTCTACAGGAAATTCAAAACCGAATGAGACATAATGTAATCTTGAAAGTGCCCCCGAGTGAGGGTGATACTCCATTTGACGTGATAACGATCACCATTACACAGTCTGGGAACCTAGGGGTGTCTCGATCAATGTCATTCGCCGTTAGATACGAAGGTTAGTCTACAATGTGTTACCCATTCAAGTATTGCGATAGATATTGACTATTTCTGGTCTTCATTTTTCTACGAGCTATGATTTTACATGATATAATGAACGATATTTTCGTTCACGTTCTTCTTTAATCGGCAAGTTATTTTCCCTATTATCCTTAGTTCCGGCTGTTACTTAGTACATAAACTTGACTAAACGGGAAAGCATTTTTCGGGAATGAACGTGATTATCAGTTTCGTATAAAGATATACATGTGCAGGCATATTATGAAATTCCTTAATTATTAGCTTTTAGGAAAGTTTCTTATTGTGATACAAAAAATGTTTGATTGGTATGCATTACATATTCACTGATATTTAACATTTTTATTCATTGGAATCGTTTTCTCTGGATATTAACTTCGGACAAAGACTGTTTTTAGAATAATAATGATTTTAAAATTGTCTGAATGTTTGTACATTTTCTTTTAAAACCCTCTATCTTCGTATTGCAGATGAAATCAAGAGTCCTGAATTTACTCAAGTTATCCGGTAAGCAAGCCGTTATCCATCTATTCACATTAAACAAAAAAATTAAGTTAGATTAAGGTGCATTACGAGATTGTTTCCTCTAAGTTCAATTATAATTTCGTTTACGGTATTAAATGACACCAAGACTTATTGTCTGAAATACAAGGTATTCATTTTCTTGCATTATTTTTGTTCCGTTTTGCGAAATTTAAATGGAATTTGGATGATCAGTAATATTTTATAACGCAACACCATATATGGGAATTGTATATAAACTAAGATGAAGAAAAAAAAGTTACATGTATTTTTTTACAGAGAAATCGAAGGAACTTCTCGAAATGATCTCCCTGATGTAGATGTCCAGAACATCGCTGAAAAGCTTTCGATAGACGATTTCTATGAACTGGGAGTTGCACTTGGTTTCCAAATACAACAACTGGATGCAATAGAGTATAAGAGGCTCAAAGACAGACAAGAGGCCATCCACGAAATCTTGATAACATGGAAACAGAGACAACTACCACATCAAAATGTGAAGGAAGTGCTTCTTTCACTCCTAAAGTCTGCAGAAACAGAGGCAGAAAAGACGAAAATGACAGGTTTAACTGTTTCTCATTTAGATTTAATAGCAGATTCTTAACACTCTTAAGCATACCAAATGTATTGCCTAATGACCCAAAATGTATATTACCTAAGCTGTGTATAGATCTGTAGTAATCTTTTGATTTAATTATACATTGGCCATTGTTGTCTTGGGGGAAAAACAATTTGACGCCAATGATGATCATAGTCATCATAAGTGTGGCGCAATATGTTAATAAATGACAACATTAAAAGTCGCAGGCCCCTATAACAAATTAATTTTATTACACGTCTGTGAAATGAAAATTTAAACTTTTACAATACAATACCAAAACAAAAAGGAAAAATAAAATCCTGATATCAAATTATTGGAATATAGGAACCGCTTTTTATTAAAAATGAAAAAAAAAAACTGCAATATATTTGTAAATAAAAGGAATAATATTTACATATTTGTAATGAAAATAATAATAGTAACAATAACACAAAATAATTAGGGTGATAGTTGTAGCCATGAACATAGAGTGTTGATATATTTTTCTTTTTCTAAAATAGATTAGCAAATTATAGAAGGAAGACATTGTGGAAAAGTATATTTAAAGCTATGTTTTCAAGTATCTATCATTACATTTTTGCATTTAATCATTTTTGATTATGTGGAAGAAACTAATTTCCGTATATTTAATTTCTTTTCAATGCAACAATGACGTCCTTTATATTGGGCCACCGGACTTCAGACATTACTTCAACCGGGTAAGATTTGTTTGTTTGTGGTCGGTTACCCTTACCGTAGATCAAATCTAAAACGTAACTGCAACCCTTACTCAAAATTCTAACTGAAGGTGTATTATTTTTCTCACGAAATAAACCCAGAGTAAATTTCGCAGGACAGAAAGTCAAAACATCAAGCAGGGAGATTATCAAAGGAGAAGCTCACCCAGATGATTAGCTGGTATTAATTAAAGCCGAAAATGAGAGAAACAAACTTGAGCAAAATCTGATTATAAATAGGAAAATTATGAATTTTAAAAGTTGTCGTCTGTGATACACAAATTGGCAACACTGTGATGTATAAAGCCCACCTACAGTATTTGTTGAAACATTCTGTATACTTAGTCCAAGTAAATCGTCATATACAGTTAATTATGGTTCTACTAACAAAGTTTGGAGAGCTTATCTTATTTTGTCGTTGCGAATACAAAATAGGAAGAAACAAAGGCGATTCGATAGAGAGTTACAAAAGGTAATTTAACGTTAAATCTAAAAGGTAACCTTCTGTTATATGACGGAAAATAAATATTCACTTATCAAAAATTGTATACATTGACCCTTCTTATAATAAAGATAAATGGTATATTAGTAAGATAAATATGGTAAAAATGTTATAAAGCTATTAAAAATTGGTAACAAATAAAAACGTAAACAAAATATTTTCTTTTGGACCGCGTGTCAAGCGGATTACGTGTCCCATTGATTTGAGTATCAATGATGCATGGCTTTATTTGTTTATATACGTTTTGCTGATCGGAGCAATCGATCTATCCAACTGCATGACAAATATCCGATTGACTGGATTACGGTTTCTGTCGAAAAGCAATTCACTAACCGGAATTTATGATAAGCTTTGATTCTGGTATAATGAACATCATTTCTTCTCAATTTATTTAGTGACATTTCTGACCAAGACTTGCTCAAACTGGCTAGAACTATTAAGTGGATGGACTTCATGGAGATCGGCACGAAGCTTGGATTCAGTCAGAACAAGCTTAAGAACATCAAACACAAGACATTGCAGAATCGCAAAGACGCTAACATTCAAATGCTCTGCATGTGGAAAGCATCTCAAAGACCGGGTGCTCAAGCGACTAAGACGTTGAAGTGCATTTGGGAATCTGTCTCGCCTGAGAATACAGTCAACTGTAAGTTCTTCATTGTTAATAAATAAAAGCTCTATGACTTGTATATATTATATGATTGGTTATCCTTATAAATGTAGAAACGAACATAAATCTTAACTGAACTTTGTTTTTAATGTAATCATACGATTGAAACGTTTATTGGTAATAAAATCGTTTTGAAGCTTCCGCTTAACTATTAGGGATTCATCGATCTACTTAGTTCATCAGTACTCCATAAGATCGCACAATGATTGATAAAAACAAAACCTGTGTTAAATTTTAAAGAAAGTCGGCTAGGCCTATTAAAACGAGACCAACAACTAGTCAATGTCCATTTTAGCGTGAAGAAAATGATTGGCCAACTAAACTCTGGAAAACATAGTATTAAGTCCCTTTTTATAACCGTACTCACATTGAACCCAAATTATTGTAACAGTAGGCTAAACAGAAGGCTCAACCTTTCTCCTAACTAAAGCTATGGTCACAGCCCAAAAAAGTAGCCTGCTCGGCGGCCGGGCGTCGAATTTTTAGCCAATTTTGCCCAGGCACCGCTTGTTTTGGGGGCATCGCTCAGCGGCGTCTGCTCACTTTTCACTCGCCGCCCAAAATACGTTCGGTGCCCTGCTGGTCGCCGCCCGGGCACCGACCTAATCGAGCGTTCGCCGTCGAGCGATTAAGGTCGAAAATCGAAGTCACTAGATCAAAGGCTGTCGAGCGGTCACTGCCCGGTCGCTGACGGTCATCGCTGGGAGTCAGTCGGTCACTGGGCGGCGAGTTCAAAATCGGTCGGCAGCCTTTGACCTCGCAGCTTCGATTTTTGACCTATATCGCTCGACGGCGAACGCTCGATTAAGTCGGTGCCCGGGCGGCGACCTCCCGGGCACCTAGCGTATTTTGGTGCCCCGCCGATCACCGGCCGACAGGAAATTTATTTAAAATCAGCCGGTGGCCGGTGGAAGACCGCTCGGGAATCGGTGGGTTATCAGTGCCGGCACGCCGCCCGGAGAACTCCCCGATTTCGCCCAGTTTTGACCTAAAATCGACCGGCGACCGACGGGAAATCGACAGGGCACCGCCCGGGCATCGCTGGGGCTCTACAGCCTGCTCGACTTCTCCAAAAGTCGTTGGGCGATGTCTAAATTCCAGGGGCGACCGAGCAGGCTGCAAATCGCTCGGTCGCCGCTCTGATTTGTGACCATAACCTTAGGGACGAGTACACACTGGTACTGGTTTTATCAAACAACTTAGATTTATAGAATTTTATAATCAGATTAACGTCGGATAAAAATTTTGGTTTCAGTTTTTGGCATATTGGCACCCTGTTCAACTTGTCCTTCAGTGTTGTGCGTTGCTAGAAGTTAGGGTTAAGGATACAATTAAGAATACGTTCCAGTAAACCTATTCCGGGACACCAATAGCACGTAACAGTCAAGAAATAAGAGCTCTAGCTAACTGTTCAATTCAATTCAATTTAATTCAATGTATTTGTGTTTCCAACAAAACATTACAAATCAATTATAAACATTTACAGCAATTTAGAAATGCATTTTGGATACAAAGGGGTCCACTAAAAAGTAATGCTTGTACAATTGTGGACCCCACAAATAATGATTAGGAATAATGAATAATGAATAATAAAGGGCTGAAATGTAGTAAAAAAATTAAGTATTTGAGTTATGTTAAGATATTACATGTCATTTTATTCTACAATATAGAATGTGGTTCAAAATACCATTTTCGTCAAAAAAGGCCGCTTTTTGGATGCCCACTCCGATTAAGGGATGTTCGGAACAAATAATTAAAAAAATATATTGTGTATTATGATAAAGTCTTTCGAATGAACAAGGTGTGCTTAATTTCTGTGGCGGCGGCAGACAAACCCCTCTTTTCTGACTTTGGCCCTCCGCTTATAAGTAAAAGAACAGCCATTGGATAGGCCCTATGAGTAATTAAACGAAACACAGAAATTAAAGATGCTGTTATGCTAAAGGCAGTACCATTCTAAGGTCAAAATAGCCTTATAATATGTACTTTATTACTTGTAGACAAAGAAGGAGAAGAAGATGAAGAAGACGAGGAAATGGATGTTCAAGAAATTGAAGGGAATTCTAGGTCACCACCTGAACATAACACAGAGCAGAACGAGTCTGTAGGGTCTGTAGAGCCTGAATATATTGAGATCATCACAATTTCAAATTCGGGTATGTCACATAATTTTTAAGTAAAGGGCTTTCACAGTTTAATGGCTGTCAAAAGGTTGTGTTAAGATGCTAGTGAATACGATAACTAAAGTCTTCTATCTATATAGAGAAAGAGTCAAACTTGTCTATTAAGGCCATACATGTAAAAACAGGTTCTACAACGCCTTTATAAACAGGTAGCCATTTATACAGGTTTGACTGCATATATATATATTATGTGTATACAACATATTCCATTTCATAAATTATAGATGGTGATAAAACCAGTGAAGATATCGACATATGTGGAGGTTCACCGAGTACGGGCGAGCAGTGTAGTGTTGCTCTTCCGGTGAAGAGTCTGTCTTTGGCACGGGAACTGGGGAAAGTCCTTCGTCTAGATGATGACATAATTGTTGGCTTCGTTGCACCTTTCGATTCTGCAACAATGAACAGACTAGCATGGCAACTCCTCAACAAGTGGTGCAAACGTTTAGATATACAAGAGAAGAAAGTGCTGATGACAAAGCTTCTTCAAGATTACAACATCTGGGATTGCGATGCAGGTTCGATACAATTATGTAGAATTTTAAGCCCTACTACCGTAAAGTCTTTTCCCAATCACGTTAACTTATGACAGAAAACATATGAGATGATATGTGTTTTTTTCAGTGCGTAAGTTGTATTAAGAGGTGAACAGGAGGATGGAAAGGTGCAATTACTATTTATGTTAGAATTATACGAATTTTGTGTCCAATTTAAGAGGGGAGAATACGAAACACCATATACAATCATGACAATTAAAGACCAAATTACAACTTTTTTCTCCAGGTCTTGATGAAATCTCCAAACGAATGTGTACTATTCCAGATCTACTCGAACTTTCCCGACGCCTTGATCTAGCAGCTTCTGAAATCCTGCAGATCATGTCCATATCTGTGTCCTTTCCACCAAATCTAATACGACAAATCGTTCTAGAAATGCTTCAAGAATGGGTACGACGTAGAGGAACAAGACAGAGGCTTCTAGAAATTGCTCAAGCTTTTCATTTCAACGATGCAGCAGACAAAATAGCAACAGGTAATTTTATAATTATAGTTAAATAATTTCGTTGAAAATTTCGTTGAAAGTCACCTTATAAAGAAAATCCTGTGAATAAAATATCTCACATGTCATGTCATAGTTCGACAACCTTCTTATCAACGAATGCTGTAATATTACCGCAAGTGTTTTTTAGAAACATTTTTCTTTATGAAATATAGAAGTTGTATGTCTATCTGATAACGATAACCTGTGTATAATTCCGACATGTCTTTCATCTTTTAATTTTGTGTTTTTGTCATCCGTTGGTAGCAATGGAACACCACCCAGGTTTCCTGGACCCATTTTCTCATAGCATCATTGATCACGACGGTGGAGAGCTGAAGCTAGATGAACTGGACATCACAGTATCCATTCCTGCAGGAGCAATCTCTAAAGGGATGAGATCTGTGGTCACTCTTAGTGTACCTAGTCATTGTTCATCTAAGATTCCCCTTAAGGATGGAAACGTTCTCATTACTCCAGTCATTGAATGTTCTTTCACTCAAGAACTTCTCAAACCTGCTACTGTAGCTCTTCCACACTGTATCCAACCAGAACAACATCAAGATGACTTAAATGTTAGCCTTTACACCAAGTTAGGACCAGGTAGGCCTATTATTATTCTGCTCTATTCTTCTTTTTAAAAGGGCTCGTTTGTTTTCTGAATATGCAAAGAAAGGGTGTCCTCTTAAACATCCCAAAACTTCCAAATGACTTACCCTTGGTTATAAATCACGATAAAAGATGAAAATACATGTATAGTTATGTAAATAGTTTTAGTAAATAAATCTCCTAAATATTTCTAAAATGATGGTCCATGTATTTGATTATACATTTTCAAATTAATCTGTTTTGGGGGCTAGTGCGTGAGTGGTTTACATAAATATATTATGTTTGACTTTTGTATAATTCACATTATCACGTTATCACATTTTTTCCCATTTCACTCTTCTTGCATTTTTCAAGATACATTTGGTTACAGGAGCTTACTTTCAAATACATCAAGAGATTTCCATATCTCGGAGGCCATGGTTGGTTTCTCTACGCGTCATCTTCAACTCTGGGGATTGTCATCTAGCAACGTTCATGGAGTACAATTCACCTGTGAAGTATTTCAGCCTCTGTTCATACTTCCTTCACAGAAACCGACAATGCGTATTTGCATAGCCCATCCATGCAACAGATATCCTGCCGTATGTATATTATTAGTGGCTTCTTATATCATTTATATATCACTCATACCCGTCACAATGTCATGCAAATAGTGCTTATAAATTATTACCCGGGTTATAGCCGAGCCGCGGAATGGCCCTATGTACAATAACCTCCACCCCACAAAGAGCTCCAATTTAAAAGTTGAATAATATTAAAAAAAAAGTTCCAAAGAGGCGTGAAGAAAAAACAACAGGGACATGGAAACAACATTAAATATAGCAACTTGTATGACTTGACCATTCCTTTTTTTTAATTGCTCAGGTTAGTAATCTAGGTACACAAATCAGTCACGTTTTCAATCATGTTTTATTGTCAGGATATGTGCAGAAGACAGGGAGGCTTCGTAGAACCGATCTACAAGGAGCCGACCGTGATAAAGTTCTCTCTTGAATCAAAGGAAGATGATCTAAAGCTTCTGTGTCGTTATGACTCAGAACAGTTTCAGGAAACTGTAAGTATCACGCTAGAACATATATATGTATGA